ACATAATGGTAAAAGACTGAATGATTTCCTCCTAAGTAAGGAAACAAGGTAAGGATGTCTACCCTTACTACTTCAGTTAACACTGTACTGAATGTCCTAGTCAGTGCAATACAGCAAGACAAATAAAAAAAAGTATACAGATTATAAAGGAAGAAATAAAATTCTTTGTTCACAGATAACATGATCATTGATGTAGAAAATCCCAAAGTTACCAAAAAAAAAAAAAAGCTAGTCTAACTGATAAGTTAGTTCACCAAGGTCACAGGACACAAAGTCGACATATAAAATCAACTGAATTTCTACATACTAGCAAGGAAGAATTGGAAATTGAAATTAAAAACCAATTCCATTAACAATAGCATCAAAAAACATGAAATACTTAGTGATAAACATAAAAATTATGTACGCTATTTCTATGAAAAAGTGCAAAACATTGCTTGGATATATTTCTAAAAACCTAAATAAATGGAGAAATAGACCTTGTTCATGGGTCGGAAGACTCAATATTTTTAAGATGTAAATTCACATAACACTGATCTATATATTCAACACAATCCCAATCAAAATCCCAACTGGCTTTTTTTTGGTAGAAACTAACTCTAAATATTTATGGAAGCACAAAGGCTCCAGACTAGCCACAACAACTTTTTAAAAGTAGAACAAAGACAAAATTTTCACTTTCCCTGATTTCAAACATTACTAAAAAAGCTACAATCAATATAGAGTTGTAATAACTTAAGGACAGAAATATAGATTAATGGAACAGCCTAGAAAAATCCAGAAACAGATCCACACAAAAGTGGTCAACTCTTTTTCAACAAAGGTATTAAGTAAATTCAATGGACAATGCATTAATCTTCAATAAATAGTCCTAGAACAGCTGGACTGCCATATGTAAAAAACGGGAAAGGAGGATGAAAGGGACGGAGGGAAGGAGGGAAGCTCAACCTTAACCTGGCACCCATACTCTAAAATTAAACTAAAACAGATCATAGGCCTAAGTGTAAAACCTAAAACTAAAAAACTTATAGAAGAAAACGTAGGAAAAAATTATTGCCACTTTGGAGTAAGCAAACTTTCCTTAGATAGGATCCAGAAAGTATGAATCATAAAAGCAAAGTTTGATAAAGTAGACTTCATCAAAATTAAACATTTTTGCTCTTCCAACAACACTATTATCAAAATGAAAAGACAAGTCACACAATAGAAGGACATTATTATAGAATATATATCTAATAAAGAACTTGTATCCAAGATACATGAAGAACTCTCACAACTCAATCATAAGAAAGCAAACCGTCCAGTTCTTTAAAAAGGCAAAAGTTTTTTGTTTGTTTGTTTTAAGCCAGTTAAATTTAGCAGTGGGGGCTTGAATACCAACTTCATTGACACTAATGTTAGTAAGTTCTGATAACCTACTACCATCGGACAAGCCAGAAAAAGGCAAAAGTTTTGAACAGACACTTCAAGGAAGAAATTAGCACATGATAAGATACTCAACATTATTATCTATTAGAAAAATGAAAATTAAAATCCCATGAGATAGCATTGTACATCTACTAATATCGCTGAACTATCAAAACTGACAATACCAAGAGCTAGAGAAGATGTGGAACAACTGGAATTCTCCAATATTGCTGTGGGAATGCAGAATGGTATAGCCCCTCTAGAAAACAACTTCACAGCTTCTTATAAAGTTAAACATGCACTTATTATATAAATATGTACATACAGTATATAATAGAGGAATATGTACATATAAAGACTGGTACATGAATGCTTATAACCACTTATTTATAATAGCCTCAAACTATAAACAACCCAAATGTTGGTGAAGAATAACACAATAAAATGAACAAGCTAATGATAAATGCAACAACGTGGAAGACTCTCGAAAGCATTATGCCAGGAAAAAAGGAGTCAGACACAAAAGTCTGCAAATTGAATGTATAATTTAATTTATATGACAGTCTGGAAAAGGCAAAACAATAGGAATAGAAATCAGATCAGTGCTTTCCGCAAGATGAGGGTAGTGGACCAGTTTAACCACAAACTGGCACTAACAAACTTTCTGGGGTAATGAAAATGTCATAAATCTTCATTGTGGTGTTGATTAATGAGTAAATACATATATGTGTCAAAATTCATTGAACTGCACCTCAATAAATCTGAATTTTTTAAGAAGCAGGGGTATGCTAGTACATAAACACAGAATATCTCTGTAAGAATATTTATTTTATTTTTATTTATCAAACCCTATATAATATTCACTGTATTTCAGATACTATTCTAAATGCTGTACAAATATTAATTCAATGTGGGAAATATCTTTGAGAAGGGAAACTATGAGACTGAAGATCTCAGGATGAAGTGAGACTGCCATTTTTTTCACTGCTTATTCTGTGTTGCTTGAATTCTTTTAACCACATATAAGTTTTGTCTAATAAATAAAAACTTTTTAAAAACTGCTTTTGCAGGTTTTTAAAATTGCTTTTGCCACATTCACCAAAGGCCTTCTTATTGACAAGTCAATACATTGTCTTTCTCTTCCTTGGTCTCTGTGCAGCATATGACCACCACCTATTACTTAAAGTCATTCTCTGCTCCTCCTTCCTGTCTCCCCATGCATGTTTTCTGCTACTTAAATCTTATCAATTATACTTCTGAATATCTCTGGAGTCTTTCCCCCACTCCTTTCCACCATTACTATCTAATTCAGACCCTCAGTATCTCTGACCTGAACAACTCCATTTGCCTCCTGACTGACCTTCCTGCCATCAGTCTCACTCCGCTCAAATCCATTCTCCATATTACTTACAGAATTATCTTTTGAAGAATGCAAACCAGATCATTTCACTTTTATGTTCAAGTTTTTACTTCTTGAACTCTTTACTCTGCATAAAAGCAGGGATTTCAGTGTTCCCTGACTTTCCAGATTCATCCTCTCTCTCTAGGTTCCAGTATACTACAATTTTTATGTCATATGGTCGAAACTGCTCACTCCTAACACTTAATGCAGAGACCAAGTTTCAGTCATAAGTGCCTGGCATTTAGGGGGTCTGACAGTTAATATTATGTGTCAACTTGTCTGGGCTACAGTGCCCAGATATTTGCTCAAACGTTATTCTGTGTGTCTCTGTGAGGGTGTTTCTGGATGAGATTTACACTTAAATCGGTAGACTGCGCAAAGCAGACCGCTCCACAGTATGGGTGGGCCTCATCCAATCAGCTGAAGGCATAGATAGAACAAAAGGCTGACCTCCCTGAGCAAGAGAAAATTTTCCAGCAAACTGCCTTTGGACTAAAACTGCAACTCTTTCCTCAGTCTCCAGCCTGTCCACCTCCCCTATCAGATTTTAGATTAGCCAAGATTCCACATTCACACGGGCCAGTTCCTTACTATGTACATATATACACATACATACACACACCCTGTTGTTTCTGTTTCTTTGGAGAACCCTAACACAGTGGGTATGCAAAAAATGTTTTTCAAATTAATATAATTAATTAATTAATGCTGAGGTTTGTTCTGTTTTGTTTTCACTTAACTGACAAATGAATGTCTATGGGGAGATTTATTTTGACATATTTTTATAGATCACTCACCAGTTTTAAGTCAAAATAAATGTGTTAAGTTAAAACAACATATACACAATATAAGAACTACAGAAACTTGAACACATGTTAGGTTTCATGTTACAAATACTTTTAAAAGAATAAAAAGCATTAACTAGCCAGTTCATAAAAACAGAATTGAAATCTCTAGCAATACCACACCAATGATTTTTTTAATCATTCAAAATAATTGCCTAGATTATCACAGCTGCCTTAAAAAGTATATCTGAATATTTTTTA